GGCTCCTCACCCGACTGTCTCATTTTTCTCAAGGCATCAGCACAACCTCCCACCCAATCACCACACCAAAACAGGGACTAGTGAATTGCCTAGATTCCTTCCATTCAGTCACAGAGTCTAGTAGGCTTCTCCTCTCAAATACCACTCACATCCAGTGGTGTGCTGGTGAATGTTCAACAACCAACTCTTTGGGGAAAAAAATTCCCAATGTGTAGTGTTTGCCAATTTACATGGTGTATATCCTCCCTCTATGGCCAATTTCAAGCTGTAACAGGAAGACACTAAATACGGAGTTGGGAAGAGATGTGCACAAGCTCGTACGAGCTGGCTCCAGGGCACTGTGCTTTCTTCCACCTTCCTGCCCTAGATCAGAGTTTCATGGCCCTTCATGACCCAAGGATCTGTCCCTGCTGACTATTCTAACCTCATGGACCCCTGTTCCTGGAAGCTTTCCTGGTACCCTTTTGCTCCTGTTGGGTCATTTAAGTGACCCATAATGCCCTGTGTACATCTTCGTCGTCATATCACAATACAGTGGTATGTGTTTATATCAGTCTTTCTCACTGATCTATGAACTCATTGAGCACAGAAACTGGCAGTAATGGTGAAGGGTAGTAGTTATTGAGCTGGGAACTATGCTAAGTATCTTAAATGCATTATCTCATTTCATCTTCACTCTAACTCTATAAGGTTGATGCTCTTATTATACTCATTTTACAGATAAGGAAATTGAGGCACGGAGAGGCTAGATAATCCACCCAAGGTTGCACAGCTGGCGGCACAAATCTAGAGCCAGATTTGATCCCAGGCCTGATTGTAGAACCAAGACCCTTGACTACTAAGGCTTCTTTGTCTTTGTGTGTCTAGCACTTGGCACTCTGCCTGGTCCATAGCAGGTGCCTTTTTGATTGTGTGTTGAGTAATAAGGGAAGGCTAATGTTGGCAGTATCCTTGACTAGTTTCTTTGCTCTTGCTTAGCTTCAGTCTAATCTCTCAACAGCAGGCAGTATGACCTTTCAGAACTATAAACCTGATCATGTAATCCATCTGATGAAAATGTTCCAATGTCTTCATAACTTTCAAGATGAATTCCTTACCCTGATACCTATGAACCTTCATGATCTGATGTCTGCTTGTTTCTTTAGATACACCTTCCACTATTCATAATCACATTTTTTCATTCAAATTTTATTACTTATCCAACAGATGCAATATTTATTAAATAATTAGGCCTAACAAGGTTCCAGGCCTTGTTCTAGGATGTGTACAAAAAGAAGCAATCTCTTCCCTAGAGAAGCTTAGAGTTCAGTGGAGAGAGACAGACACACTTCACATAGCTGCTCAGTAGGTTGAAACAGAATTGCATCCAGCTCTCACTGGGGACCACAACAGGTCTTGCTCTCAGTCTCATATGTGTTCTTCACGTGGCTCTTGCCACGCTATTGGCACATTTCCAAAGGAGTCCTGCGGCTGAGTTTTTAAATTCATTTGCACATGCTCTTTTCTGTTCTTAGAAATTTTTCTTGGATGCCTGGATGGTTCAGTCGTTGAGCGTCTGCCTTCGGCTCAGGTCATGATCCCAGGGTCCTGGGATCGAGCCCTGCATCGGGCTTTCTGCTCCATGGGCAGCGTGCTTCTCCCTCTGCCACTACCCCCTGCTTGTGTTCCCTCTCTCGCTGTGTCTCTCTGTTAAATAAATAAAATCTTTAAAAAAGATTTTTTTTCTTAATAACCATCTACTTATCCTTGAAAATTCCTTCTCAAGTGTCGCCTGCAAGGAGTCCTTGCCACCACCACCTCACCCCGGCCAGCCTAACTGAAAAGTCCCACAGTATTCCTATCTATAACCATCCTAATGCTTAACACCATATACTGCTCTAGCTGATTTTCTTGTCCCTCTCACTGGGTTGTGAACTCATCTCTGATTTTATTCCTGCACACATAGTGGATACTAAGTGCATGTTGAATGAATGAATGAAACAGTGAAGTAATGATTGGAAATGTCGTCTTTACTCATCTAACTCTGACTTGGTAGTGGCTCTAAACACCACCATTAGATTTAAAATCCAGCTTTATAGAAGTTGGACAGAATATCCTTAGCAAATGAGAAAAGGAGAGCGTTTGGCTTCTCCTCCTCTCCTCTCCTTTCTCTTCTTCTACCCCTCTGTCTCCTTCTTTGGGATATTTATGAACATTTCTGCTCGAATTTCTCATGAACACTGGTGTTTCAGAGGGAAAGTATTTTAATGTTTAAATCCAAAGGGCAACCATTGGGGATCCTCACTGCTGCTTTTTAGAATCTTTTAAAAACCTACAGTTATTGAAACAGACAAATTTTGTCATCTTGGCTGTTGTCTGAATACTCTGGGCAGTGATGCTGTGTGACAAAAGGTGAGAGTTGATAAAGGAAGGAACAGGGGGCATCTGGGTTGGGGAAAGTGATACGGGAACAGAGCATATCAGATGGTAACAAAAAAGGACTGGTGGGTGGTGGATGGGCAGGTGGGTGGAGGAAGCAAGAGCAATGAAAGGAAGGTCCTCGTGGTATGTACCCTACTCACACCTTTGAGGAGCACTTTTTCCCCAAAGGTCTGTGTATGTCTATTAGTAGGTCCTGTGGATTCAACTTGGACTTGTCTTTGGTCCTCCCTGGTGGATTGATCCTCTAACTATGTGCTTTTTTCTTGTCTGGCCAAGGGCAGCAGGACAGGTTACCATGTGGCAGCTATCCCTGAGCTTAGAAGGGGAGGCAGAGAACTAGGGTGAAGAAGGGCTTTCTCTCTGAGAGTGATTTAAAGGGGTAGTTCTCTGGCACTCCCAGGAGGCCTGGGAAGCTTCTCCTGTTCTGAGCAGGACTCTGACACCCACAAAAGCCAAATGTAGAACAGGGTAGGATCAAAGCTTGAAACCAAGCCTCACTGACAGGGGGTGGGATGCTCAACAATGCCATCTCTGCAGGTTTCTGTGTAATAAGTGTTTAAGACATTTATAGCAAAGTGATTATTTTTAAAAGCATGAGATTTATTTTAACAGTCATTTAAGAGTTTCCCTGTGTGTGCAAAGCCTCCTGAAAACAATTTTATCTGACACTACGGATTTATCTTGTTGAGTAATTTCCTTTGAGTCTGGAAGGCACAGATGTGATTTTGGAGTCCCTGAGAAAGCTGGCTACTGCGGGGATCATCTCTCCTTGTTCATTAAGGTGTTTGGACATGCCACATGGGGCAGGTCCTGAGAGCTGTAGACCATCTCCTATTTCTTCCTGGGGATGGTGGTGGGGGAGGGTGGGTGATGTAAAGCAAGTGATACATTGGTCAGGTCTTAGCATTTGTGGGCCACCTCCAGGTTTGCCTGGAGCAGTGTGTGTGTGTGTGTGTGTGTGTGTGTGTATGCGCACACACACGTGCTGTATAAAGCAGATGGGACACCAGCAGGGGCTTCAGTGGGAAATTAAACAGATTCTTCCCTCCACCTGCTTCTCTTAGCAGTCAGCTTGACCAAAGCCCAAAGAAGCAGTAGAAGCAAGTCAGTCTTGCCTGTTGTTGGAGCATGAAATGGGGCGGTGATGGTGGGGAGGGGAGTGAACACATGCTCAAGGATCAGGGCAGCCTGCTTGGTTTGCCTGCATATCACTTACTAGCTGTGAGACCCTGGGCAAGCTAGTTAACCTGAGTAATCACTTTGCCTTCTCTGTAAACTGGGGATATTAGTGTCTACTTCCTAGGGCTGTTATGAGGATTAATGAGTCAGGTAAAGTGCCTCTCCTTTGGCTTAGCTCAGAGTAAGAAATCCAAACCACCGCGAATGTCCCTGAACAATTGTGGTGGCGTTCAAAGTCATCTCCCTTCTGTTCTTATCCCACCAAGCAACCAGAACAAACTTCTTCATTTTTTTCTTTTTGTTTGTTTATTCATTTGGGTTATTTTAGGTTCCACACGTGGTGAAACCATATGGTATTTGTCTTTCTCAGTGTGACTTATTTCACTTAGCATAATACCCTCTAGGTCCATCCATGTTGTCACAGTGGCACGACCGCATCCTTTCTGATGGCTGAGTAATATTCCCTTGTAGATGTATATACCACATCTTCTTTATCCATTCATCTACTGATGGACACTTAGTGGCTTCCGTATCTTGGATATTGTAAATGTTTCTCCTGAGTTTGCTAGGTATAGAATCATGTTATCTACAAATATTGTTTTGTCCTCTTTATTATATATTCCTATGTTTTATATTCTTTTTTATTCTTTTTAAATTTTAACATCTTTATTATGATCAGAAAGAAACCAGTAAGTGTATTTTCATTTTTTTAAACCAATAAAAAGGACAAAAATATTGTGTTACATTTTGGGAAGTCTAACAAAAACATGAAGCAAGATACTTCTTGATGAACTTAACTGGAAATAATCTGTCCAACCAACAAACCAACCAACCAACCAGCCAGCCAACCGTCCATGCATCCATGCATCCATGCATCCATCCACAAATGTTTATTGCCGCCTTTTTTATACCATAGATTCTTGTGGCTACTATAAGAAGTACATGGTCCCTGCTCTTTAAAGACTTTAGATGGAGAAACAAACACAAGGGAAAGCAATTATAATAGTGCATAAAGTAAAGCATAGGGTGTTAATGGAAGCACATAAAAAAGGGCACCTAAATCAGCCTTAGACAGTCAGGGAAGGTTGCTGGAGGAGAGTAACCTCTAAGGAGAGTTCTTTTTTTTAAAATTTAAATTCAATTAATTAACATATAATGTATTATTAGTTTCAGAGGTAGAGGTCAGTGATTCATCAGTGTTATATAATACCCAGTGCTCATTACATCATGATCTAAAGAGATTTCTAAAGGAATATTTGAATGGAAGAAAGATCACACTCTCAATAAATGTATACTATTTAGTTGCTTTAAAATTCTTGGGTGCAGGCCTGTCAATGTTTTTAGATGCTAGCCATTCTGAAATCTTCATGAATCTCAAGACTTTTAATTTGCCTTTGCAGCTCAGGGGCCCAGTGACACTCTGGAGAACCCGGTGCTGGATACAAGTCTGCTGGAGGAATTCTTGGGCAATGATTTCGATCTGGGGGCCTTGTAAGTAATGAAAGCACTGCTCTCCATTTGATGTTTTAAAAGTTATGAAATAATTAAATGAGCTGGAAAGTGTTCCCTCCTCTTCTATTTTCCAAAAGGGCATGGATGGAGTTGGTATTGTTTCTTCTGGCAGTTTTCCTGAGTGAAGTCTGCTGGGCCTGGAATTTTCTTTATAGGAAGGTCCTCCCCTTCCAATTCAATATCTTTAATAGATATCGGGCTATTGAGGTTATCTGTTGGTAGTTATCAGCTTAGGCAGTTAATGTCTTCCGGTGAATTTATTCATCTAAGTTGTCAAATTCACTGGCATGAAGTTGCTCATCATATTCCCTTATTTTATTTTTAATGTCTGTAGAATCTATAGTGATAATCTTTTTGTTGTTCTTGATATCAGTAATTTGTGTCTTTTTATTCTTGATCCATCTGGCAAGAGGTTTATCAGTTTTCTTAACCCTTTGGAAATCCAGCTTTTGGTTAAATGTATATTCCTAATTGTTTTTCTGTTTTGTATTTCATTGATTTCTGCTCTCGTATTCTGATATTAACATAGCCACTCCAGCTTTCTTTTATTTTTAATTTACATACAGTAACATTCAATTTTTATCCTGTATATAGTTTTGTGAGTTTTGACAAGTTCATAGACTTGTACAACTACCATCATGATCAGCACAAACAATAGTTCCCTCACCTGAAACACTTCCTTTATGCTTCCCCTTTGTGGTCAAACACCCACCCCAGCCCCTAGTGACTACTGGTCTGTTCTCTGTCCCTATGGTTTTGCTTTTCTTGAATGTCACATAAATGAAATCTATGAGATAAAACATTTTTAGTATGGCTTCTTTTACTAAGCATAAAGTCTTTGATCAATAGTTCATTCCTTTTTATTGCTGAGAAAGACTCTGTTGAATGTTTATAATTCAGTTTGTTTATCTAGTTACCCATTCAAGGACATTTGGATTATTTCCAGTTCTTGGCCATTATGAATAGTTTCTATAAATATTAATGCCCAGGTTTTTTTTTGTTTTTTTTTTAAAGATTTTATTTATTTATTTATTTGAGGGAGAGAGAATGAGAGAGAGCAAGCACATGAGAGGGGGGAGGGTCAGAGGGAGAAGCAGACTCCCCGCCGAGCAGGGAGCCCGATGCAGGACTCGATCCAGGGACTCCAGGATCATGACCTGAGCCGAAGGCAGTCGCTTAACCAAGTGAGCCACCCAGGCGCCCGCCCAGGTTTTTATGTGATCAAGAGTTTTAATTTCCGAGGTAATATTTATTTATTTATTTATTCAAATTTTTATTTAAATTCTAGTTGCTTAACATATAGTGTAATATTGGTTTCAGGAGTAGAATTTAGTGATTCATCACTTACATCATAAAAAGTGTTCATCATACGATGTCCCCTCCTTAATACTTATTACCCATTTAGCTCATCCCCCACCCACCTCCCTCCATCAACCTTCAGCTTTTTTTCTATCTTTTAGAGTCTCTTATGGTTTGCTTCCCTCGCTCTTTTTTCCCCCTTCCCATATGTTCATCTGTTTTGTTTCCTAAATTCCATATATGAGTGAAATCATATGGTATTTGTCTTTCTCTGACTGACTTATTTCACTTAGCATAATATACTCTAGCTTCATCCACATCATTGCAAACGGCAAGATTTCGTTCTTTTTGATGGCTGAGTAATATTCCATTATATGTGTCTGTTTTTGTGCCAGTACCATACTGTCTTGATGACTACAGCTTTGTCATATAGCTTGAAGTCTAGAATCATGATGTCTCCAGCTTTGCTTTTCTTTTTCAGGATTATA